AGCCGTTCGCTCGGAAGGGCCGCCGGCTGCCAGCCTGGCCGGAATTCCGTCGAAGGGGAAAACGCGGAGCCCACAGGGAGGGCTGGCCGAGAGGGAGCGGCTGGGAAACCGTGGCTTCGTCCATCCGTCGTGCTAAGCCTTGGTTATAGCGCCGGTCTGTTGGGACAGCCCGTAAACCGTGATTTGGAAAAGCATATATTCCCAGAAACCCTAGGGTTTGGATCAGCGGGTCGTGTGAATGCAGCCAGACCCTAGGCCAATCTCCAGCGGGGTGGAAGCGGACCGGCGGAGTCACGACCCCAGTCTCTAAACTGCTGGAAGTTCTCCAGCCCTGGACGGGTGAAGGAGGTGGTTCGGTTCAGTTCACGCGTCTGGCTAATGAGATTTGCTTGGTTTTGGGCTGCCTGCTGTTTGAACTTGGCCATTCTACTTGTAAACATAGTTTCGGAGTTATCTGTGTATTGGTTTACGCTGCCTTAGATTTATATGCCTTGCTCCAAGAGTACTCCCACTTTTCCCCACAACCCTGTGAGGTAGGTTGTCCTGGGAAAGTGACTAGCCCAGAGTCACCTGTCGAGCTTCTGCAGCTGAGCCTGGAGTTGAATTTAGTCCAGCACCTTAATCATTATCCTGCTCTGGCCTTCAGATTCAGGGCCTTGCATAAACATAGTCAGTTGTTCAGTAAACCTTAATTAAGCCTTTTAATGCAATGTGTGGCTGTAGCTTGTTTGTCTGTTTTTCATCTGATTGGAATCACTGGTTTCTTCTTCTCCTCACCACAGCCCTGTCAGGTGGGAAGGGTGAGTGTGAAAGTGACTGGCCTGAAGTCATCTAGTGAATTGTGTGACTAATTAGGGATTTGGATTGGATTTTCCTGGTTCGGTCCTCTGAACAATGGCTTCAGCAGTTAGTATTTTTGGAAATCTTCCCTATACTCTTTCACCCCACCCAGTTACCAAAGCATCCAAACTGCCATTTTCCCCTGAGAAAACTCAATACATTTGTATGTGTTTTGTGTGTGTGCGTGTGTGTGTAGGAAAATCAGCATGACTGCCCCAGACATGCTTTGTGTTTACATCCATTCATTACTCAGTGCTCTGTGAGCTGTTCATGCATCTCCAGGGTTGCCTTTGGGATGAATCAGTGTTGAATCGGTTTATCGGCGTTACTCAATCTGTAATGCTTCATTCACCCGTAGATTGCTGTTTTGTCCAGATCAGATGATGATACATGGATGAGCCCGTTTGGTAATGCTTGGATGCACTCCGCATGAGGGCTGCATGTATCCCATTGAGCAAAGGTCTGGTAGGCATGTGGGCGGGAGAGATTGGCAAGAAGGAAGAGAAAGGAGTGGGAGCACCAAGATTACCAACCCATCTGTTAACTCAGGTACTGCTAAGCATCCTTCTGTTACGTCCTCCATGGAGGAAAACAGGATTAGATGCCTAGGAAAAGCATAATCTTTCTTTCACTTTGCACATAAGAGAGGTCATCTGTAAACTGCACCAGTTTGATCACATCTGCTACCATCCTTGTGATATCCAGCCAGTCAGAATTCTGGTATTGATAAAGATTAGTGGGATAAATACAAATCTGGAAGAGTTAAGAAGATACTTTACTAAAATAACTGCAGGAGGATTCAGGTTTTTCAGCTGCCCTGAATTCTGGGACAAACAAAACTAGTTTTGTACTCTTCCGTTGTTTCAGAAGTAGGGATAATCTTTAGTTCCTACTTGTGATATAAGACCCACGTTATTTAAAAATGGTATTTATATATATTAAACTTGGGTTATAGAAGCATATTTCTGTTTGTGTAACGTCATACCTAGGCAAATGCATCATATTCCGGTTTAGTCTGAAAGGCCTTGTTCACAGAACATACTGAGACAGTGGTTGGGCTCTATCCATGATATGCAGAATTCACAAACTTCTTAATCTTATTTTAGCCTAATCTGGCATGTGGGAAAATCCATTCTATGTGCCCATCTTGCTCCTTTTTCTCTCTGTGTTGCCCAGATGTGGATGAGGACAGGATGACCTCAGAGTATTGCTACAGGAGGGGGGTCTGTGGAGGCATTGCTCCTCTTAACCTTTTGAGTATCTAGCGATCAGAGGGAAAAAAAATCCTCTCCTCTTTTGCCTTGATTTCTCTTTCCATTCCTTTTGCAAAATGGGGGAGATGCTTCTGGACAGGGAACTATCTGATGGTCTGCACCCATCACCCAGTTGTAGTCCTGAGGCAAAATTATACTAAAATGTCTTTTAAGTAAAGAAAAGAGCAAAGGATCTTCAAGAGAGAGGAACAGACTTTAAGGAGCAGGCAAAAAAGGCTGAGTCTTTCTGTCTGCTGAATCCGTCGTCCTTCCAGGAGGTTTACTGTTACTTTGTTTTATTGTGGAGAACAGTCCAAAGTGGCTTCTTTCTCTCCCCCTCACCTGAAATTCTCTCGCAATGCAATCCATCTTATCACCTTGTTTTGCTGTGTGTGTCAGTGCAATCTCACACATCCTCTAGGGACAAAAGATAGCTTTGTAGCCACATGGAGCTTCCAGGCCAGAATACAAAGGCCAGCTTGTGCAAAAGAGCCTTGGCTGGAGGAGGAATGAGGTTAAGGGAGTGGCGGTCCCTATTTGCTGAGCAAGGTCTGTCATGCTGGGCTGAGTTAGGAAGAGAGGATCAATGCTGTCTTTAGAGTGTGCAAATTTCCACGTGCAAATCCACTGTGGAGGTCCTTGAGTGAGGGTTGCCCACTCTCAGCCAGAACAGGGTTGTTATGAGAATAAAATGAAGAAGGAGAAAAACATTTGCATTATCCTTGACAAGAGGAGGTGATATAAATGCAAGTCCCAACGTCTTTGGTATCTGCCAGATTCCTGGTGTCAGGAACGCATGTTCCTGGTGCTTCTGCCTAGGACCTGCAGGGTGCTGTTTGAAATGCCCCATTGTATGGAATCCAGTGCACACCCCAGGAAGGGAAGTTATAGCAAGGGGAAATTTAAAATAGCAATATGGAGCTGGGGATCTTGCAACGGAGAAAGAATCCACAGCTTAAAACTGGAAGAGGCAGGAACGCTGAATCTGTAGGTTCGCCAAGCCTTGTGCTCTCTTTTACAGGTCCAAGTGTGGGACACGGCAGGCCAAGAGAGGTTCCGGAAGAGCATGGTGGAGCATTACTACCGCAACGTCCATGCTGTCGTCTTTGTCTATGATGTCACAAAGATGGCGTCCTTCCTCAACCTGAAAACCTGGATTGAGGAGTGCAACGGCCACGCGGTCCCGGCCCTCGTCCCCAAAGTGCTCGTGGGAAACAAGTGTGACTTGCGGGATCAAATCCAGGTCCCATCCAGCATGGCCCTGAAATTTGCCGATGCTCACAATATGCTTTTGTTTGAAACCTCTGCCAAGGACCCCAAAGAGAGTCAGAACGTGGAGTCTATTTTCATGTGTCTGGCCTGCCGGCTGAAGGCCCATAAGTCTCTGCTCTATCGGGACGTGGAGAGGCAGCAAGGGAAGGGACAGAAAACAGAGCTGGCGCCGGCCTCTAGCAATAGAAATGCCTGCCCTTGCTGAAGTGGTCTTGACCATTGAATGGGGGGAGGGCAGGTGGTTTTGTGCCTCAATAAACTGAATCAACGTTGCTCGTTTCTGGTGAAATCCATGTTAAATTAATAATAAACGTTTGTATGGCTCACACTTGGTTTGGATGTGGCTTTTTCTTGCCCTCCTCAAGAATCGGTGATGAGCAATCTGGGCCCCTCAATTTCCCTGGCTGGATTCACCTGACATTGACCTGGTTCACACTCGATGCTAAATCTTATGGGGGGTTTATTGAACGAACTGCGTTCAGTTGGGCAGACGTAGCCTGTCAATGAAAAACCACCTCAGGGCCTAGCATGGCCTATGAATCCAGGCAGTGAGGACATCATAGGGTACATTTTGCTGTCTGATTGTAGGCTGAAGTTCAGTTATTTGTTTTGCTTGCAAGCAGTCCTTGGAAAAGTTCCCTCGCAGCATGTGACGGGCAACAAGGGCGTCTGCAGCGGAGAACGGAGCTAAATTGTGTGACTTTGGGCTCCTCCTTACACTGAACCCGTCGACAAAAGGCCTGAATGGCCTTGGATCCCGCGGCATCTTTAAAACTTAAAAACATATTCTCACTTGTAGATGAGAAGTCTCTTCAGCAGATGCATACAGGGTCATCCTCATTTTGGCCAGCATTCCTTACAAAAAGTAGGACTGAATAGTTGCAAAGTTATTCTTGTTACCTAAAGCATAAGATAGGCAAAGCGACTATTCACAAGAACAGTAACTGTTGAGCAGCTGGCAGAGTTTACTGCTATCTGCTAAATCTTACCTTATTACTATGTGACACAAGACGCTTTGACTCACATGTCCACCCTAGAAGTTGTTTCCTCCAAATGTTATTGAAGCAGCATGGAAAATAGCAAAAAGAAAGCGTTCCCACACCTTTTTGGTAATATGATTCAGCCCTTGAATGATGCAGTAGTGATTTGGGGTGGAATAGCTGTTCAAGGTAGGTTTAACATCAGAAGCTGTCCCTGGCCCATCCATGTACACTTTCATATCCATAAGTAATGAATAACTTCTGCCATGTAGTTGGCTCAATCGCTTTGCAGCCTAGCTTCTCCTGCGCTACAGCAATCTGAATTCTTTCAGCAGTTGGGCTTCTACCTTGGACTAAGGAATACATTACACCTTAGTAAACCTATCAGAACGGCTGGGTTCATACAACATGCAAACTCTTTGGTCACATAGCAGGATGTGGGAAGTAGATCAGGCTGTCAGATTTAACGGCTGTTTGGAGCAATGGCTAGGTAAGTTCCAGGTGCTCTAAATTCCCGGGAAAAGCAAAGCAGTATCAGCTTTTAACCCACATCTGACCAACTGATGACTAAAACAATTACTAGCTTGCTTCAAAAGGCATAGCATAATCCCCAAAAATATAATGGCATAGGGCCTGTTTATCATCCATCCCTTGAAGGGTCTGCCCATCCTGTCCAATGTGACAGAGTTGGCACGCTTTGGGTCGCATTGATTGAACTGCATCATCTGATGGGACCCAGGAAGTGAGCCTTCTCTGTTGCAGTGCCTGCGCTCTGAGATTTGCTATTCCCCCCACTCTGACCATGTGAATATGAGCCCTTAAAACCTGGCTCTTCCCTCAGATCCTAGGTTAGGTTAGGTGGTGGGACCCTTCAGGGAAAGTGGTGTGGCTGAGAAGTTTTTGGTTCTGTTTTCTTCAGATGTTCAACACTTCTTGCCCTATTGCTGTGGTTGATTTGCTTTTTAACACGGCACCCCTCCCAGAGTCACTGTGGAGATGGGCAGCCTTGCCAATGTGAGGACTAAATGAATGCCAAAAAACAATGGTGAAATCAGATCCAAGGAGGCATCTGGCCCCAAATCCCTTGACAGTCTTAGTAAAGGTGATGTTCTTTCTGCAGGAGTGAACAAGACATGTTGCTGGTCTGCAGTGGCCATCATCCTTACCCATCATCCTGGCTAAGGTTGACAGATGTTGGAATTTGGAGGAGCAAATGTTGCTCATCCCTGCTTTGTTTGACTTCTTACTTGGGGGGTCCCCCCAATCGGGCACCACTCTCCTGACTACAATGTGCAGAATTCCAAGCTGGAGATTCTGAGAGTTGTCGCTGTCCCGTATCTGGAGGGCCTCAGGCTACAAAAGGTCGTGTTTATGTGCCTTGACAACTCACCACTCAAGTCCCTTTTCCAATCCCCCTGGTATGATGATTGTCTAAGAGCATTTACCCGAGCTTGCCTTATTGGTTTACCAACAGTAATCTTGGAAGGGGAATTTTGTAATATTTGTATGGGAAACATAAGCTGTCCTTGGAGCCCCGGGAGACTGAGACCTTGACTCATCTTCTAGCGTATGCATTGCTCATCTTATCAAGCCATTCAAGTCACCCATACCCATTCTGTTTTCAGTAACACACCAGGTAGATCTGATATAGTTTATACTTTTTCTTTTTGGCCAACTCAGATGCTGCAGCTCATCAGGTCCACCAAATAACTCTTTGGGAATCAGGTTAGCAACCAGTTACTCAGTCCCCGAGATTGGTTTGGGTCTGGCCCATGCTTTTTTGGTGCCAACGTTTCATTTGCTTCGTTATCTTCTTACATTGCATTGATTAGTGACCGTAATAAAGATTTGATTGATATTTGTCCCAAGCACGTGTCTATTCCCTTTTAAAAACCATCTGGGCTAGTGGCCACATTCACACTGTGCAGCAAGAAGTTTAAGAATGGATGGTACACGGCACACAATGAATTCAAATGCACACGTTACAAGCAATTAGCGTCACAAGAGGTGGCTTTAGGTGCATTTCGACCGCCAGTGCAATTCCTCTGCAACCTCCCAAGGCGAACTACAGATTTTTCACCATCGATAAGCGAAGTGCTAGAGCGTAGACATCAAAGAATCGGCCTTTCCTTCTGCACGGAATTTAAGCTTTGTGTTACTCTACACTTTTCTATCTCTATGCTTCTGCTACTGAAATCCACAGGGGGGGAGAATAGGAGGTGAAGCGGAAGGAAGGGAAGTTCGCCATTGATTACAGCACAGGAGGCGCGACCTATCGGAGGGAGGGAAAGGCGGGCTCACGCTTGCGCAGTGCAGCGGGGTGTAGGGCGCATGTGCAAACCCGGGAGGACGCTTTCAGGATGAAGTAAGTGGTGGTTGGATAATGGGAGAGGGTGATGGTAAATATTTTTATGGAGGCGGGAAAAGTGGGAGCAGGGCTTCTTTTTGAATAACTATTCAACTTCGGAACTATCTGTGAATTGGGCTCAGCGTGGAATCGATGAAATGCTAGTGCGGAAGAGGGTTCCTGGGCTTAGGCAGAGTGCGTTTTCATCTAGCAATAACCACTGACATTTTTGTCGCTCCCGCGAAGGCCTAAGCCTTTGAGCTACTAGGATGAGTAGATCACCCTTTTGTAGGGTGGAGGCAAGGGCAGTACCAGGGGGGCTAGAAAATGGGGTAGCCCAGCGTCCAACACTTGCGCCTCAGGAGCCATCCAGGCCCCCTCTTTCAGCCTAACCTCTCTCGCTGGCCTGGTGTGGTGCGGATAGTAGTGGAGGTGGTAGGGTGAAATTTGGGCATGTCACACTCTCCTCTTGGATGAAGGGTGGGCTAAAAGGAGGCAATACAAGTAATTGTTGGGATTGCCAGCTCCTCCTGGAAGGTGAGGGTTTAAAAGGATTGCGACTTGCAGATTGGGACTCATCGTTTTTATTCTTCTTTTTTCTTTCTCTAGCCCGTTAACCAAAGTGAAGCTGATCAATGAGCTGAATGAGCGTGAAGCACAGCTTGGAGTGCAGGATAAGGTCTCCTGGCACGCAGAGTATAGTGACAGCGCCTGGGTGTTTGTGGGTGTGTACATAGAGGCATCTCCCTACGTCAAGCCCCTGTTGCACAGTAGTTTGATTAATCACACAGGCAAATGGCTAAAAATTTAATAATAATTTTCCTTCTTTTCTCCTTCTAGGGGGATTGCCATATGAATTGACTGAAGGGGACATTATCTGTGTATTTTCACAGTAAGGACAATGAAAGCCTAGCTTCAGAAAATGAGAAGGCGTTTATTTATTTGAGATTGCTTTAATATTGCTTTTCAGTTAAAACCAAACCGTAATGCAAATAACAACAATTAACATAAAAAGGGTAATTTGCAAACTTAGCTTAAAAAGTTTACAGTGAAATCGCATACATCTATCTGGAAGTAACTGCTGTTGAGTTGAATAGTGCTTGCTTCAAAATAGGTCAGTGCAGCCTTGCAATTTCAGCAATTATCTTGCTAGTTCTTGTCTTTACCACAGTGCTGCCAGGGAGCTGCTGCTGCTGTTACAGATTTTGCACTCTAAATGTGGAATTTCCTCCATTGGGAAAGTCTATCGATGAACATCAAGTTTTTTAAAAAGCCCTGAACAATAAAAATAATTTTAAAGCTAAGGGCATCAGTTTAGCTAAAACAGCTACAAAAAAGAATGTCAAGTTGAGTGTTTTGTGGGAGAAAACCCAGGCATTTTGGAATAGCAGCTCCTCTAGGGCAGGTTTTCTCTTGAAATTGTTTGCTATTTTGTTTTCAGATTTTTTTGTTTTTAAAGAATTTTAACTTTTTTATTTATTGTTTCTAAGCATGTTAGCTTTAAACCCAGGCATTTTGGAATAGCAGCTCCTCTAGGGCAGGTTTTCTCTTGAAATTGTTTGCTATTTTGTTTTCAGAT